CGGGGGGGGGGGGGGCTATTGGACACGTAGTTGGAGTACTTGACGTAGGCCTACTTTATGATTTAAAAAATATTAGCTCATTGACGACGCAAGTTTTTCACCAAAAATTTCCCTGGAGACCCACGATTTTTACCTTTTTTAAAAAAATCAGTTCAGTGTGATAAACCTATCAACTGTACAGGTATAAAAGTTGACACAAAGTAAGATCATCATGTATACTTACATAAAATGTATTTATTTTTACAAAGACTTTGAAAAAATTGTTTTAGGTGAAAAAAAAATTATATTATGTAAACATGGAAAAAACTTTTTTTTAATGAGCTAAGCACATGGATCTCAGAATTGATTGTAGTGAATTAAAATGGTTTCAAACAAGTAATACTAAGTGACATTATCTATAAGAATAGTGGCACTGCCAGGAGCATTGTAGTCTCCTGAATCAATAATCCCTCTATGGCTTCGTTTCGTAGTGAAAGGAGCTTCCAGCAGCTGTTTCTTGTTTATGTAAAAAGTAGGTCAGGTCAGCGTTTTTCGGCAGATTGCTTATAGCAGACAATTCGGGTGACCAATGGTCAAAGGGATACAACCACAATAAAGTTAAATGGTTTAACTAACACTGGGAGTCATTCCCCTTGAGATTCTATTAGTTTTTAGGTAAAAAAAAAAAGGTACAGGTTGTCGGGTCCCGGGACCCAGCGCGTCTTCAGAGTTTGTTTATCTCGCCGGGACCCGGCACGTCGTGAGTGAGTTAATAAAAACTGAACAAAATTTTAGATTTGAATGGAGCTGAATTCTGGCCAGGATGGCATAATGATGAGGGATGACTTGTGTGTTTCTAGGCCTCATGATCGAAGTCGTACCTTTTAACGTAAATGCATGCTTGTTGTATGGGTGATGAAAACTGTTAGTTACCTGTATCTTCAAGACCAGTATCAGCATCATTGCCACCTGCACTTTCCCAGTCTTTCCAACTTGATTTTATGCTCTTTTAGATGTTCCTCTACTTTGAGGTCCAAATCATGAACTTATTTCTGCAATAAGAATAAATGTGTCTTGTGTTCACTTTTTGTCAGAGTACTGAAACCCAAACTGTGGTTGATTATCTACCCTGTCCAATGACCCAACCACGATTTAAAGTTTAAAAAAATTGTCATAGAAGGTGCATCTATATGTGATTATGATTATATAATGGGAGTGAACGTAAACCTTTTGGTTTGTATTATTTTTTATTTTATTTGTTTTTTGGCAAGTGTTTTACAGTGCATGGCAACTGCATAAGGTCATATGAGTGCGCGGGACAATTTTTTTAGTTAGTAAAAAATTTTGAATTTTGCTCGGGTGGCGACCGAAGCCTATCGATTTTATACCACAAGGGATCTTTACGAGCGCAACTTGCACACAGGCTCCGAGATTTTTCACCCTTGTCCGAGAAGGCTAGGTGTAGGTCTTTCCTACCAGAAGATCAGGGGTGTGGCTGAAAGACAGCAGTAAGAAGGAACCAAGGAGTAGCAGTAGAAAGGCTCCAGAGAGAGGCAGGAGCTCAGAGGAGGGGGCAAAGGAGGTGAGGGAATGTGGGCTGAAAGAGGAGACGAAAGCAGACGACAGAAATTGCAAGAGAGAAGGAAAAGGTGGCTACTCAGTAGATTCTAACCCGGGACCTTTGAATGAGAGGCCAACACTTTAACCTCTAGGCAACGAGAGCCCCTTGTATTAACTTGCATTGATAAGTAGAGAAAGAGTAGCGAGTTTTGTGTCTAAATTTATGTTGCTATTTCTGTGTGAATATCTTACATTATAAACTTAATTCACCAGTTCATTTTTTTGGAACAGCTTTTTTAGCTACTTCTTGTTATTTCAGAAAAATTAATGCTCATATACTAATGCAGTTATATAATTCTTTTCCCAGAAATTGAAAGACTGACCAAGGGAGAAGATGAGAAGAAAGAAAGGCCTCCTGTTCCTTTCATTGAAATACACAATGATCGCCCTCAGAAAATATCAGTGAAAGTAAAAATTCCTGTCAGAGAGCATCCTAGGGTGAGTATTTTACTTCAATTTTGTGCTTAGAGGGGGGTTGAAACAATTATATTATGATTGTCATGAAGTATAAGTTTATAAATGAAGAAAGCGCTCAGGGTTTGGTAATTGTTTTGAAAACAGAAAGTAAAATATGTGTCATATATAGGATTCAAATTAACTCTTTGAGCCATATATTCCTCCTTGTGCATTTTGGGTAGTTGTTTCAACTTTTCAGTTCAGTTTAAAACATGAAATTCATTCAAAAAATTCTTTTCACTTACAACAGTTCATGTGCTTTACACACACAAAAATAATGTATGTCAATAATAATCAGGTCATCTTCTCTTTCTTGTATGTTAAGCGTTTTTGAATTTTTTGTGAATGAAAAAAATATGGTCATATTATATTTTGGAAGAAGTATGTCATATAGGAATGATTGCTTAGCTTTTGAGCAAGGCAGGTCTATAGGTCAATACACATAGATAGAAATGTTCGCATATGACAACCTATGTTGGTAGAGACCTTAGTAACTTTGAATATTTTCACAATACAGATGTTGTAAAAAAGGCGGAAATAATGCTAAGTGATCATAGCCACCCACTGACATCGGAATTTCAACCATCGACCCTCAGTCAGCGATACATTTAGAAAAAAGCAAGAACAGACATATACAGAAATTCTTTCGTACCAACTGCAGTGGGGTTACTGAACACACAGTGCTACAAATGAAACGGAGAGAGGGAGGGAGAGAGACAGAGAATTTTACGGAGAGTGTTTCAGCACGTGAAACATGTACAGTCAAACCTGTGTAAGACGGCCACTCATTGTCAAGGAGAAAAGTGTCCGTCTTAGGCAGGACTGATCAAGATGAAGAAAACAAACCATTCCCATCTGAGGTCCCAGTCGAAAGTAGCCGCATTGTTGTTGTTGGTGGTGGTGGTTTGTATTTTGTTTGTAATTTTTATTTTGTTGCTGATTTCGCACAAGGGTGACAAATAAAACGAAATGTATCAGACGAGGAAGACCGAGTGCCATGTAAAAACAAACACATGGGTCGCCACCACTCGGAGAACGAGTGACGTTTCTGTCACAAGTTCATATTGACGTCCTTTGTTACTTTGTTACAGACTAGGTAAACAGTGACCACTCATCTCACTTACGATTTGTGTTTAAGTTCTGGGCGGGGCTTATGGGTTATGAGGGATCACACGCTTACCTCACCAGCAGCTGAAAATTGGTAGCTATTGGTCACCAGTGGGAGGGGCCTACACAACATGATCGGTTGGAGGGACTACCTAACAACAATGGAGGGGATTGAATTATGACGGCTCGCCCACAACGCCAGGGGCCAATGCACAATTTATGACTAAACAAAATGGAGTCATTAAGGTGGCCGTCTAAGACAGGTGTTATTGCTTAGTGTGATAGGGGTTGTGTGTTGAAATAAGGTGGCCGCAGCCGCGTTGGACAGGTGTCTGTTTTACACAGTTAAATTATATAGAAAAAACGCAAGGGGGGAAATGGAAAGTGGCCGTTTGTACAGGTGGCCGTCTTATAGAGATGGCCGTCAGGGCAGGTTTGACTGTATTTACTAATGTCCTGTCTTGTTGTGCGTATGCGTGAGTGAGTGCACCTAAGCTTTGTAACATTGCCATTGTGATTGTAAACGACCAGACAAATTTCTCCCTGCTCGATGAATGATTTAAGATTGTCATTGTCATGTAGAGTAGTGAGAGGAAAGTGAGGTTGAGAAATTTTTTCAATTCCCTGGAATTTCAATTTGTTTTGTCCCACAGTATTCCTAATTAGATAACTTTTCATTTGACTTGAATTTCAGTACAATTTTGTTGGCAAATTGCTGGGACCCAAAGGAACAACTTTGAAAGCACTCCAAGAACAGACTGGATGCAAAATGGCTATTATGGGAAGAGGATCAATGAGGGACAAGGATAAGGTAAGATTTTTGTTGCTTATTTAAAAAAATGCAATTTATGAGCATATATATGGGTAATGAGCTCTTTCTATTTGAGCGTTATGTTGATTTTAACTCACTCAATGTGACCAAGATATCTCGGTCACCTCGTGAGCTGCGTTCAATCCCACGACCGAGATAACTCGGTTATAGTTTTGTTCCGTAGACTAGTTATTCTGTTTCGGAAAACATCCTCAAGTTTTATATAAGGTCACTTTGTTATTTCCCCGGCCAATTTTGCCCAGAGGTGCTGGAATTTTGTTTCTACTGTCATTACACACACAGAAATCAGGTTTTTTTTTACAAAGGCACTTTCAGCGCTTTTGTTCACACTGATCAGCTGAGCATGTCTGGCAATCTATTCTTTCTGCTTTTCTCACACATACATTTTTTTTATTCCTGAAAATATTCAAGGTTATGTTGAAAGAGGTTCTGTGGGGAAAATTCTGTTATCTCAAACAGAACGCTTGTGCTGCCTTTCATAAGCATCTCTCTCTCTCTCTCTCTCTCTCTCTCTCTCTCTCTCTCTCTCTCTCTCTCTCTCTCTCTCTCTCTCTCTCTCTCTCTCTCTCTCTGTACTGTCAATTTAAAAAAATGATGGCAATAAAATTTTGATTTTTAAAATTATCTTTCTTTATAGGAGATTGGTATTTGTAATGTGTATAATGTGATCCATATAAATTTTCTTGTGTGTTTCACAATAGTAGCGATTGAAGATTGTGATTTATATAGGTGGCTGATATAGGCTTTGTTCATTCTTTGCATATAGGTTTGTATGAATAATTTTTTTTATTAATTATTAAATTTTTTGTTTGTATTTCAGGAAGAGGAACTTCGCAAAGAAGGTGGAAAATATGCCCATTTTAACGAAGACCTGCATGTGCTTGTAGACTGTTTCACAGAATCCACAGATGGATACCACAGACTGGCAGGAGCTCTTGTAGAACTGAGAAAGTTTGTTATTCCAGTAAGTACCTCATGCTCCTTTTGTTTCTTCTTCTGTTTTTAGTTTGGTATAGGTTTTATGGGGCTTACAACTGTAAAAGTTCACATGAGCGCCAAGGGGTGGATGTCAACAGAGAAGTCCTTACAGGGAATCTGGCTTACTCTGCTCACCCCTTTAGCTTCAACAGCACAAAGTCTGCTTTGACTATCAAGGTACCCCGGAAAAAGCAGTTCACGAGAGTGTGACAAACATACAAAAGAAGTAGAGGAAAATGACGATAGAAAGGATTAGGAAATAAAAAGCAGCAGTTCCCTCTTGCAGTTCAGGCACAGTGATGAGCATGACATTGATGAATTAACCCATTTACAGTTCTACTGTGCATAAGAACATGTTAATGTTCCCCTTTTGGGAATGGCCGAAAGACTCTTCAGTCAGTTGCAACGCCCGGGGAGGATTGTTTCTTCTTCAATGGTATGCAGTAGTCTTTTTTCCATATTTTATCACTGATGAATCTTTTTAGAACTTGATCAGATTGGACGGGTTACTTTTAGCGCTGTGAAAAAGAACAGTGAGTATAATGTATGTTGAGTGTTATTTGTTTTGTTTATATCTTTTGTTCTACTGAAATTATCCATGATTTAGTGTCACGTGTATGTGTGCAGTTAGATTCTTGCATCTGTTTGTTACATAAGGTATATTCTATATTTTCTTGTTGGTGGTTGGTGGGTGCTCTGGTGTGGTCTGCTCCTTCTTTCCTATCAGACATCTATTGTCCTTATCTCTCCTTCTTTTTTGTGTTTGTTACTCTCTTATGTAACAACTCTAATCTTTGGCTCATATATGACTTATGTGTGCAGTGCTGTAAAACTCTTACTAAAACTAAAACATGTTAGTATTTTCTTCCAGAATCAACAAAACGGAGCAAAATCACATTGTAGGGTGTCTTTTGATATCTTTATTTTAATGAAACCTTTTTGAAAATCCCAAGAAATCGATATAGAGACAAACTGTGGAATGATGCTTATGAAATCTAACAATATTCTTATTTACAGGAGATTGCTGATGACATGTATGGAGGAGGTGATATGGGCATGGGTGATATGGGAATGAACGGTGGTGGAGGTGCTCCAAGAGGAAGAGGTTCCTTCAGAGGAGGCCCACCAGAAAGAGGGTAAATGTCACAGACTCGCACACTTTTTATTTCCTTGGGTCACTCCTATATATAACTTGGGTCAAAATTTCATTTGACGTATAGAATCTGTGACATAGGAACCAAATTTTGAAATGTATGTAGATGACTTGCGGCTACGACATATTCAGGTTGAAGAGTATCATAAAAGAGAATAATGACACTTTGTTTAATCACATGATATGAGGGGTTCGATTTCAGGTACTGTGTAAGTTATGAACACCGTCACAAAGAAAGCAGTTTTGGGAACTGCACACAAAGATCCATGATGAATGAGTGAGATACATGGATTAAAAGACAAAAAAAACCCAACATACTTAAAAAATGTTTAGAAATAGATCATCAAGTGAACTTGAAAAATAATGTATGGCGACAAGAAAGCGAGAGGCAGAAGACACCCAGTGGCACCTTGTGTCCGTAGTTTATCCTCTCACGCTTTTGAAGGGCAGCTTCAGTGTTCAGATATCAACCCACGTTGCCAAATGGCAGGTTTAATAAGTGTCTCGTTTTATGCTAGTTTCTCTACGCCAACTAAAATTTTGACCCATTGATATATGAATATCAAGTAGTTTGTAGGACACCACTGGTATGTCATATTTTTCTTTTCCTTTGTTGTTCTTGCCTATGTTGTTCTTTTCATGCTCTAAATGACTGAAAGGAGGCTCTCGTGGTTAGAGGTTATGGTGTTCGCGTCTCATTCAAAGGTCCCGGGTAGCGACTGAAAAATTTTCTTCTCTAAAATTGTCTCCTTTCACCTTGTTCCCTTCTCTCTTGCAATATTTTGTCATCTGCTTTCGCCTCCACTTTCTTCCTCTACCCCCTCACCTCCTTTGCCCCCTCCACTGGGCTCTTGACTCTTTCTGCACACCCGTGATTTTCTGGTAGGAAAGATGTACCCCTAGACTTCCCAGACTAGGGTGAAAAATCTTGAACGTGTGTGCAAGTTGTGCATTTTAAAGATCCCTTGGTGGTCTAAAATTGGAGTAGGCTTCGGCCGCCACCCGGGCAAAATTCAAAATTTCTTATCCATTGAAAATGTTTGGTGTGTCCTGCACGCTCATATGACCTTGTGCAGTTGCAAGCACCTTAAAACACTTACCAAAAAAAAAAAAGACTGAAATTGTATTGATGTGCTTTTCTATGTATTCAAACATAAATGTAAATCTGTCTTTTGAGTGGGTTACTAATATTTTCGTGGGCTTGGTGATGTTACAACTTTAATTTTAAAATGTACACAGTCAAGGGCTTTGTTAAAATAGAAGCCATTTTTGGAAGACTCGGTATTTCATACGACTTTTTTCTCAGCTAAGTACGAAAGTGTCTTCTTGTTTCAGATGGACAAAATAAAACAATGACAATTTAAGCAATCGGCGTATTTTTCCAGTTTAATTCTCGTTGAAATGTGAGTGGGCCTAGGGTAATTCTCTTGACCGCGTGTACGTGACCCTGCGACCATGGTCAGATTACCAGATGCGGGGTTCTGGTGGGGTTCGAACTAAAATACTCCGTCCTACCTAACAAGCTGCGAAAGGAATATAAGGTCGTTCCAGTGTTTAAAGCACGTTGCTATTATTGGATTTCAGTGCTCGCGGTGGATTCCGAGGAGGCCGTGGAAGTGGTGGACCTGGGCCTGTCCCTCCACCTGGTGGACGGTATGTACAAAATTTGATGCATCTCAGTCTGGCATGTTAGGAAACTAAATTTAGGGCAAGGTTTTTCATATATATGAGTGGGTTGTGGGCGGGTGCTCTGGTGTGGTTTGCTCCTTCTTTCCCATCAAACAGCTATCGTCCTTATCTCTTCTCCTCCTTTTTTGTGTTTGTTACTCCCTTGTAACACCTCTAATCTTGGTCACTTATATGGCCTTATTGTGTTGCAAGTGCCGTAAAACTCGTACTTAAACTGAAACTCGTGTGTGTAACGACGCGGTGGAATCTGGCACTGGCCAATTTTTGGGCATATGGAGTTATTTTTATAACCTTATAACTTGTTTATTTGTCTTTCTTTGGGTGAAAAAAAATGCCTGTCTGTCTCGAACAGAAGTCAAGATATTTGCAATTGCAGGAGCTGGGGGTAGCCTGTTTTCTGAGGTAAAATTTGTGAGAAAATAGACGCCAGAGATAGGTAACTTCTATAACTGGAGAGTCCTTGAAAATTGAAAATTAACATTTTGTTTTCCTTTAATCAACGTTTTCTGTAAATTTCACATGGAAATGTATTTTTTATAAGGGCATAAAAGATGTTGAGCCAAAAAAAAAAAGACAAAAATTGCCAAATACAGGGTCCCCACCAGGTCGGGAAATCGGGAAAAAGTCGGGAATTTTGAGATGGGTCGGGAAAAAGTCGGGAATTTTGTGATGGGTTGGTAAGTCGGGAAAGGATAGGGCCTGTGTAATAATAATATTAGTAGTTTAGCTGTCGAGACAGTATGGTTGATGAATTATGAAGAGGAAACGTAATTGAACCGCTGTTGCGGAAGTGTATATGTGACACCGAGGCTCGATCGGGAAGAATCAAGATCTAAGATCTGCTTTCGCTTTCGTTACCACCCAGAAATGTTCCGGTAATAAGTCTGATAGATTATAACGCAACTTTTGTAACATGCAGGTTGTGCATTACGAACGCTGTGTCGCCTTGAAAATAAATCAATATTAAAAA